CCCCAAAAACCCCAAAACCCCAAAACCCCAAAACCCCAAAACCCCGAAAAACAATATATTTATAGAAATCAACCAAATTATTAATAAATATTTTAAAAATGGCCAAAGAAGAAAACAAGGAAGAGAAGATAGACACCTCCACGAAGAAGAACAAGAAGAACGCCCATGAAGGAGAGGATAGTGAAGAAGAAAAGGAAGCCATCCCTCTTGACCAAGCTGATATCCAGCTTCTGATGAGGTATGGCAAAGGACCTTATGCTGACAGGATTAAGGCTGTCGAGGATGAGCTCAAAAATAAGACTGATGATATTATTAAGCTCTGCGGTATTAAAGAGTCTGATACTGGTCTCGCCCTCCCAGCACAATGGTCATTGGAGCAAGACAAGCAATTGATTAAGGAAAAGCCTTTGATGGTCGCCAGATGCACTAAAATTATCAACCCAGGGACTGAAGAAGCCCAATATTTGATCCATATTAGGCAAATGGCAAAATATGTAGTTGGGCTAGGTGAAAAAGTAGCCCCAACTGATATTGAAGAGGGTATGAGAGTCGGAGTTGAAAATGATAAATACAGAATTCAACTGCCACTTCCAGCAAAAATTGACGCTAGTGTTACAATGATGCAGGTAGAAGAAAAGCCAGATGTCACTTACAACGATGTAGGAGGAGCTAAAGAGCAAATTGAGAAAATTAGGGAGGTTGTCGAAATGCCAATGCTCAATCCTGAAAAGTTCATTAATCTTGGTATTGACCCTCCAAAAGGAGTCTTGCTGTACGGCCCACCAGGAACTGGAAAGACCCTTGTGGCCAGAGCAGTAGCCAATCGTACAGATGCCTGCTTTATTAGAGTCATTGGTTCTGAATTAGTCCAGAAATATGTAGGAGAAGGAGCCAGAATGGTGAGAGAGCTGTTCACAATGGCCAGATCTAAGAAGGCATGCATCATCTTCTTCGATGAGGTTGATGCTGTTGGAGGAGCTAGACATGATGATGGAGAAGGTGGTGATAATGAGGTTCAAAGAACCATGCTTGAAATCGTCAACCAACTTGATGGTTTTGATGCTAGAGGAAATGTCAAAGTATTAATGGCTACAAACAGACCAGATACCTTAGACCCAGCCCTCCTCAGACCAGGTAGACTTGATAGAAAGATTGAATTTGGATTGCCAGATCTTGAAGGAAGAGTTCATGTGTTCAAAATCCATGCAAGAACAATGAGTATGGATAAAGATATCAGATTTGAGCTATTAGCAAGACTTTGCCCCAAGACAACAGGAGCTGATATCAGAAGTGTGTGTACCGAAGCAGGAATGTTTGCCATCAGAGCTAGAAGAAAGAGTATTTCTGAGAAAGATCTCCTTGATGCAATTGAAAAAGTCATTAAAGGATACCAGAAATTCTCTGCTACGCAAAAATATATGGTATACAATTAAAGTAATTGTAATCGCAAAATTAAAAATAAGAATCTCAGTTACTTTACTCATGCAAGGGGTTTTGGGGTTTTGGGGTTTTGGGGTTTTGGGGTTTTGGGGTTTTGGGG